GTTGGTAAGACAAAGCAAAGAAAAATAATCTTTATATTTTTTTACCACTTATGCCTAGACTAATTAATATTACTATTCAGTTTAATTAAAGCATATCTAGTTCGTCTGGGGGACTCTATCGGTTAAACATAAGCAATGATCAAATGTGAACAGTTTTGGGATGTCAGTCCCGTTCCCCACTAATAAGCTTATACCAAGTTGTTTTAGCAGAAGTAACACCGATATACTTTTGAATTCGAAATTTTTTATTACATTCGATTTGAATCATTAAATCAACAATTTATGATAGACGCTGTTGTGTGATATAGGCATATCATAAATTTGAAATGTCAAACAATATATTTTACCTTTTCGGTGTTAAATCAGGAAGTATATAAGACAGTCGCAAATAGAAAATATATTGCTGGTGCACAAATCTGACACTAACAATGGTCGTCACCTCTTTCTTGGTCTTGATTAGCTTTGCAATCGTTGCAAGCATATATGGTCTACCAACAATAACGGTTCGTATATTGTAATACCAATACATATTTTATACTACTTTGTTTTATTTATTAAGAATTCTCCAATGAAAACGGAAAAGAAATTAGAAGAAACACGTAAGCTGTCGATGACATTATCTAGTATTTTTTTAATACGAACAAAGAGTAGAGTTATTCGTTACGATAGGGATCGGTTTTAAGCCCTAGTGGACATATTTGATAGATTACAAACCTTATGTGTCTCGAAAATTTCTTGAATAATAACAGAAGTCATATTCCAAGATTAAGAAAATGTTAGGAGTTCATTGATGGAGACAATCTATTTTATCTCTTTTTAACACGAGGGAAATCTGATACCATTGAATAGTATTTCTAATGAGTTCTTACCAATTATTTTATTTATGTTTTTAAGCGGGAGCAGTTCAAGGTGACATGTTCTTTGAGCCAAAACGAGGGGTAAGTTGATAATGATTGTTCTATTCTTGCTAAAAACGTTTCTCTTTTCATAAAACAAATTCAGCGTGGACTGGCCGTTCGTTATATTACACGTTGGACAAATCGAATTATTCCTTATGTCATTTCACCTGGATTCGGTTAGTAACTCTTCTTCTTATTAATTCAGTGTTTCTTAGTATTTTTATAAAACTGACTAAGTTTTCTTGTGCATAGCGGTTGGAACTCCAGCAAAAATCATTGCTACAATGCGAAAAATGGAAACAGCCATCGCTGGCAACAATGTGAATTGTATACAATTTCGTCCAAGAGTTGCATCGGATTTATATTATATCAATATTACGAATGGAACTGGTTGTTCATCGTATGTAAGTATTTTATCTCTACATCACTGTGGAAGAATATACTTTAAAAACACTGGCTTTGTTTCTATCTTATAGGTCGGTCGGCCTACAAGCACATCTTTCAATCATCTAGTTACATTGCAAGATCCTGGTTGTATTGATGATGGAAGGGTTATGCATGAATTGTTACATACTTTAGGTGAGTGTATATTATTTCGTAAAGCCTTGAGATACTTTTATTTTGATTTTTACATCAAAGACAAAGTTTTCTTGAATACATAGAGATAGTAGAATAACTGCTCGCATCACTTTTCTTGTCTCAGAGATCATTAAATTCATATCTCCTCTGAGAATCTATTTTTTGGGACGGAATGAAGAGCAAGGACTTCTCTTGTTTCCGACTCTGGACTAAAGCAATGTCTGTTCATAGCAGTCATCTAAGTCAGGCAGATAAACTTGATAGGACTGATGATGAATTATATTCAAAAATTTTGCGTCTAACTGATATATGTATATAACACTCCTCATAGTTTCCTTAAAATCATTTTTTTTCCAACATCATTGATTCACAAAAATATGAAATAAAAACCTCCCTATCTCTCTCCTTTGATGGCAAAAGATCGATTTGGTATCTACTTTTGTTTTGAACTTTTACAACGCCATTTCGAACTATGATAATCATAAATCATTCAGAATTTTTGTTTCTATTTGAAAAACTAGGATTTCTCCATGAACAATCGCGAACTGATCGGGATTTGTATGTTCGAGTCAATTACGCAAACATACAACCAGGTACTTGGAAACTCTTACATATTAGAATTGCTCTAATCTTCATAGTGTAGGCTTGGAAATGAATTTCTATAAGTATGACAACAATACAGTTGACGATCAAGGCACTTCGTACGATTATGGCTCTGTAATGCACTACGAACGTGATGCATTTTCACGAAATGGCTTACCAACAATCGAACCACTTCAACCAAATGTTCAGATTGGACAACGTATTGGAATGAGTCCCATAGATATTCTAGAAGTTCAACTTCTTTATGGTTGTGCTACCAGTAGAACGTTTTCGTCAAGTAGTACGGCTACAACAAGTAAGAATTTCCATAAGATGAAACTTATTTCGCAAGGATTCTCATCACGCAAAAGAAGCATTGTAAAGATGAAATATCAGTATATAATGTAACATATTCTACACTTCTTTTTACAGTGTAGAATATATAACAGAGAGGAGAAAGAATAGGATATTATGTAACACAATTTTCTTATAAATGAGAGCTTGAAATGTTAGTAATTTCTATTACGTTTCCTGAGCATTACTTTATTTGCTTCAGTATATTATTCAATTTTAGAATTTTTCTAATTCTTTTATGACATTTTATATGAGTTTTGGATGGAATTTGGGAGAAATCTAATTCAAATATTGATTTGATCTGAAAAATACTCGTTTTTCAATATTTCATCATATAACAGCGAATAAAATCACGATGCGCTTTCCATTATCAACAAAACTCAAAGAACAGAATATAAGGCAGCATCAGTCTGTGGAAAGCGTCAAAGTGCCAATAAGCTGCAGTAATTGAGTGAATCCATTTTCTATTGGGAGGAGAGTGCAAATCAAATAAGTATTATACTGTACACGTCTTTTTCAGGTCAACCGCATAGTCTATTGTATCTTGAAATCCCTAACAGATTAAATACACTTGTTTCTGATTGCTTGAGTGATGGATAAATTTGGATTACTTAACATAATAGTATGTTTTAGCATCGGCAAATTGCTTTCCAACAAGTTGGAATCCAATCGGTACTGTAGTGGCGAGTGGTGGCTATTACGGAGGCCTAGCTGTTGACGATGACTTTAACGTATATGTAGCCGATGGAAACCATCGTCGTTTACAAAAATGGGCTCCGGGCGTTGCGCAGCCAGTCAATATGCTAGAGGGGTACTTTTCACACACTCCCATGTTTTTTCACTCATCGACCCGCTCACTTTACTATATTGATCGACTTTTGGCAGGCAGTCCAGGTGTGTATAAACTAGTACTTGGACAAACAACACCAGTGAGAGTAGCTTTTGGCAATGGCGTAGGCTCTGCTTTAAATCAACTGCGACATGACTGTCGTGATTTTTATGTGAATAGCGCGGGTGATATATTCGTGCTGGATACTTACAATCAACGTGTATTAAAATGGGTGGTGAATGCGAGTTCTGCGATATTGGTAGCAGGTGGAAGAGGTCAAGGAAACACTTCCACTCAATTATCTTATGAAGCGTATGGGTTATATGTGGATACAATAAATAATGCGATATACGTAGCGGACACAGGTAACAATCGCATCCAGAAATACACAACTGGATCTGTGAGTGGAGTAACAGTTATTGATGCCACTTATCGTAGAAATTTCTCTGTTGGATTGCCACAGCTGTATGGACCTAAAACCGTATTTGTTGATAGAACTGGAAGCATTTTAGTGGGTGATTGGCAACGGATTACCAAGTGGACACCGGATGCAACTTCTGCAAGTCTCGTTGCTGGTGGAAAGCAAGGATCAGGCGCTAATGTCAAGTCCATGGATAATCCATCGGCGTTCACATTCGATAGACAAGGTTCCTTATATGTCCTCGACTGGATTAATCAACGAGTACTTAAATTCAATGTCGCGTCAACATCGTGCATGGCTGGAATCGGTTGACATGAATATACTTAGGTCATACCAAACGTGGTGACCAAAATATCTTATTTTCACACAGACTGCTTGAAAAAAATTTCTTTTTTTACGAACAGATAGCGCGTCTTTTTCTCTATATTTCTATGCTAGTTGATCACTATTCAGCTAATATCATAATAATAAAATTTCAATAAGATCTGTTTCTTTTGCATGTGTCCTAATAACATGAGGGTGAGGGTGAGGGTGAGTAAAGCATACCAAGATCTAGATTTCGACCCGGCTAAAGGTCTCATCAGTTGGTTTTAACTCTGTGTAATTATCCGAGTGATCCTAAGATCACAG